ACTCAAGGGTCTATTCCCTCGTTCTGCGGAATTCAAAGAACGTTCGTTTTCTTATCGTACAAGCGAGTGATATGTAGTAGGTTGGTATAAATTTTTCATCGAATAGAGAAAAACATCACGGACAAAGACGAATGGAGGAATTTTTGCTTATCGATGATTCATACTTGAACACGAATGCACCGAGGGTCATTAGGGGGTGGCAAAGTTCCAAATTTTCCGAGAAGAGGTGATCGTGTTCGCAATTGACGTTTCACAATGCCAACCTACAAAATGTGTGGATTTTTTCCCCTCTTTTTTTGCAGAAACAGTAAGGGAAAATAGCATGTATTAAAACATAAAGTCACTTTTTTAAAGCTATCGTCGCGGTACGATCTAGAAAAAAAAGGATCTTCGTAATAATGTCCTTTCGTCAGTCCCATTATTCATATTGCTTACGTTACTCTGTACTTTTTGCACGACTGTTTTTTCTTCTTCTCCTTTATACAACTCTTCTTAACCCTTAAAAAGAAACGAACGATCGATAAAGGCACGAGAAAGCTCGTTAGTTCCCGAGGAAATATTTCTCTCTCAATCTCTCTCTCTCTTTTCTTTGTTCGTCGATAAATCGTTAAATTTTGATTCTCAAAAGATAACGAGAATAAATTGGAATTTATGCAGACTACGCCCGCGTAAAATACTGCGACCATTGTGAAAACTCTTTTCCGTGTCTTACGCGGGGGGCCCGACAAAAAATTTTCAACGCTGTGAAACTGTGGTTTGAATATGTCCTACGCACGCCAACGATAGGTCACGCGATAAAGATTGTCCATTTGCACGAAAAGTTTCATAGGCGCATTTATAAAATACATTCCACAGCACAACATTATTAATAACACAACCGACAAAAGTATAATTCTTTATTAAAAGAAAAGAAAAGAAACCAAAGTTTTGAACGAAATACATACAATTAGAACTTCATATTCAAGACACTCGAATTTCGAAAGTTACTTTTTATGCATCCATTTGCACATCAAATAAGTAGAAGCGGTAATGAAACAAGAGAACAAGTGAGTAAATGGATTTTTTTTACCAAGAATCAACTTTTTATCGATTGTTGAATTATTAATAATGAATTGTACCCTGCAGTTCGCAGGACATCGAAAGTATCGAATGCTTAATTCAACTTTCCTTGATAGTCCAAATTAGTATGTCTTTTAAGTGCCACTCACGTATTCGTACGTAGAACATAGCAAACGTGTGAAACGGTCGTGCGAGTGAGGGAGACGTCGAAACATCGATCGGCTACAAGCACCGCGCGCTATTGCACAGTTCAAAGATCATATAATACTAATGTACACAGGGGCACTTTGGTCGAGCAACCGCGCGCGAGGATAGACACTTCTTTCGCGGCCACGCGACGTCCCGCTCAGCAGTGATTGCAGCTGATCCGTTGTGTTGGTTTCCTCCACTGGCCGACGCGCACTCAATTCGTCCCTTCTTCTCAAAGAACAGAACAGAAAACACTCGGTCGGGCTCCACCGAACGACTTAAACCGATCGCGCGTAGAAGTTGGACCGCGCTTAATACAGAGAGGGAAGGTCGATCATCGCGGGGGTAAGATGGGCCACGCGATTGGTCCGCGCGATACAGGGAACAATTCGAAACGAGGAGACTCTTCTCACGGATCGCACGTGATACGTCTGCGAGTACTTAGTAGAGTTCTGGGAATGTGTTCCATTGTTTGATTCGTGCTTGGCCAGTATGGGGGTTGTGTCTGACATTTGGGATGCGGTCGATACAAAATCAATCATTTCTCGGGGAAAAGTTAATTTATCGTTTCGAATAGAATTTTTGTAACATTGATTTGTGAATTGAAATAGAGTTTCTGTGAAAAGAATTTTGTTTTTAGAGGGAATTAGTCATATATAATTATGAATAAGTTACTTTATCAAAAATTATATTGTAGATCGCTTGACTTCGTTTTTTAAAATGAAAATTATGAATGATCATTTTCTCGTCGGTTACCAGATTATGTTTCTGTATAATAGATATTCATTGGCATAAGTGTATCATCTGTCTTCTCTAAGAATATTTTAATACATAATAATATGTTTGTGATTAAATATAAGATCATCTAGCTTACTACTTAATACGATGTAGTAAAAAAAACGTTAATAAACTCTGAGAAAATTTATAATATCTCAATGAGATAGTAAATTCTTTAAATATTCAGTTGAATTTTTCAATTAATCTCATTTTTATAAAATAAAGAAAAAAATTAAAATTAATAAATTGTTTTTTTCGATAAAATATACCGAAAATGTATCATAATAGCATTTTTAAGTTTCGCCTCATACGTTTTGTCAATGTGTACACATAAAACAAAAAAATCACATGAAGAATGATAGGAAAAAGTTCAAAGCATTAAAAAATAAAATATATATCTACGTACGTAGTTTAAAAATCTTAACAAATCCGCACAAATATTCATACCTACACTTGAAGTCAAACAGATCATTGCTAGCGTCAAACCGATTCTAGTAATCCCCATAAAATACGCAAAATGTATCCCAACAAGACAGACTTCTTACATCCAAATGTATCATCACAAAATCAATCTATGACAACTCAGGTCCCACACCTTGATCGTACAGCATTTTCCCCGAACAAACACACCCGGTATATCTGGCCAGGCAACAGATATAGAATCAAACCTGGATTCTAATCACAAAACTCCACCGTTCAGACTAGGACGACGGAAACAGAAGAAAAATCATGCGGAACAGTTTCTTTCAAACGCGTCCCCGTCTGAACGCGGACAGGATCCTTGTGGCCTGCGAGTGTCTTAGAGTCGGCCTGGGGATCGAGCTCCTCGCGTTCCTCTGACCGACGGCGGTCGCAGCTGGGGCCGCTTCCGCGCGTCCGTCGCGCTGGTCCGCGCTGTTCGACGTTCTTCGTGCCGGACCGATCGCAACCCCACCTCGCCCTCGCATCGCCCGCTAAGGCGAGAGAAAAAAGCCGAACGGCATCACGCAGTCCTTGGGCATGAAACAGTCGTGCACGGTTTTCATGTGGTTCTTCATCTTGTCCGGCCTGGAGAACTCTTTGCCGCAGACCGGGCACGGGAATACTTTTCTCTGGTGGCCCTCGTGGTAGAGGAACGCGTGTCGCTGGAAGCTGTATTTGTTCTTGAACGTTTTCTGGATGTCGACTTTCGCGCACTCGGTGCACTGGTACACGCCCTCGGAGATCGAGGCGTAGCGAAAGAGATTCAGCCCGCGCACGGACATCTC